TCTTCAAGTTGCCAGTGGTTATGGAGCACCCCTTTATTCCTCGGGGTCTCTAGTGGCATGGCCTCCTTCCCTGCCTTTCCCTTGTTGCTTTTTTCTTTCCTCGGAAGGGCTGGGATCGGGCAGAACGCTTCTCTGCTTTGGGTCTAGGGAGATTCCCAGTCCTCCAGGTTGTGCCTTTTCAAGAGGCCACTGGAATGTCTGCTTTTTCTTTGAAGATGTTTCGTTTCTCATCCAGGAAGCTCCTTCAGCTCTGACTGGATGGTGGGGATAGATGTCTACCTTCAGTCAGAGCTGGAGAAGCTTCTTGGATAAGAAGCGAAATGTCTTCAAAAGAAAAAAACAGAAAGTCCAGTTGCCTCCTGAAAAAAAAAAGCACTCTGGGAACAACCATGACCTGGATGATGGAGAATCCCCATAGACTTTGGGGGGGGGGGGTCCAAGGAAGCGGGGCTTTTTCTCCCCCCTAAAAGGAGATTGCCCTTATCCCTGTTGAGCTTCTAGAGCAGTGTTTCTCAACCTTGGCAACTTGAAGATGTCAGGACTTCAACTCCCAGAATTCCCCAGCCAGCGAATGCTGGCTGGGGAATTCTGGGAGTTGAAGTCCGGACATCTTCAAGTTGCCAAGGTTGAGAAACACTGTTCTAGAGGTCCTGAAGACCTGGCTAGGCCAATAGGCCTGAGGGAGTTGATTGACCTAACGAGGTAGGTTGGGTATTTTTAAGACCAAGACCATTGTTAAGATGATTTAAGGCAGGGCCCCCACAATCCACAGGCTGCAGCCCACTACCGAGCCCTGGCCTGTTCAGAACTGGCCCGTGGAAAGGTTGGGCGAGGGTTCACGCAGGCTCCATTTGTGTGAGTGGTGGGTGCAAATGGAGCTGTGTGTAACTGCTCACCCCTCATGTGGAACCATCCTCTTTCCCCCCCGTCACGCTCCCCACCGGTCCACACAAAGCTGTAAAAGTTGGAGACTGTTGATTTAAGCCACGTGGAAGAATCCTTTGTTTGTTTAGTGACCATTCAAGGTTCCAACAGCATTCAAAAAAGGGAATTTGTGACCACTTTCACACTAACCACCATTGCAGCCTCTCCTTGGTCATGTGATCAAAATTCAGACATCTACCGTATTTTTCGGACTATAAGATGCACCAAGGTTTCAAAGAGGTAAGCCAGGAAAAAATGGTTTTTGCCCTTCCCGGGCCCCAGGAGCACTCCAGGTTTTTTGCCAAAATGGGGGCATTTTTTCCCTTCCCCCAGCCCTGCTGAAGCCTGCAGAATGGTTCTGGGGGTGGGGGAAGGCAAAAACGCCCCCAGGAGCACTTTGCAGACTTCGGGAGGCCAAAAATAGTTGTATTTGATGTATAAGATGCATCAACATTTCCACGCTCTTTTAGAGGGGAAAAAGGTGCGTCTTATACTCTGAAAAATATGGTATTTATGATAGTGACCGTGTCAAGAGGTCATCTGATCCCCTTTTGTGACCTTCTGCCAAGTCAATGGGGAAGCCAGATTCACTTAACAACCATGTTACTAATTGAACAACTGCAGTGACCGACTTAACAACTGTGGCAAGGAAGGTCATAAAAGGAGGCAAAACTCAGCTGAATGTTTCACTTAGCAGCAGAAATGTAGGCCTTAATTGTGGTTGTAGCCCGAGGACGATCTGTCCTTCTGTACCTCAGAGAGAGAGAGAGAGAGAGAGAGAGAGAGAGAAATCACTTTTGCTCAATATAAAGTGGAAACTGGCAAATGTCCCAGGGTTGAGGCTGAGAGGCCCATTTACTTCTCCAAATGCCAAAGATTGAAGTACAAGGTGATAACAAGAGTTGGCAAACTTTTTTCCAAGCCCTGAGCTCCCCTGGATGTCAGCCAAACATTTAAAAACAAAAAAGCAAACACAATCTTGCAAGATTTTGGTGATTTGGCATCATCTCAACTGAGTACTGACTTGTCCAGAAATTTCAGAATTGTGAAATTTTACCAGAGTTTACACAAGAACCACAGGCATTGCACAAGATGGGTTAATTCTGAAAGAGTTGGGTTTCTTTCTTTTTTTTCATTCTACTTTTTAATCTAATGCAGATGCCAGCTAAGAGTTACCTGGGGGCAAATTCATCATGTTATATCTGATGGTTGCACTGGTTTTCAATTGCAAGACTTAAGAGACATAATCCAAAGCATTTTTTTTATACCTGGGCAGAGGGCCCCACTTAAGGACAGGGTTCCCCAACTATGGCAACTTTTAAGATCCGTGGACTTCAATTCCCAGAACTCCGCATTTATTAGCATCATGACTTACGATTGTACAGACATGCTCCATTATGGTCGTAAGTCGAGGACTACCTGCAGAATGCTTATTACAGCACGTGATGGGAGGGTTTAGACCAGTGGTGAAATCTAATTTTTTTTTACTACCGGTTCTGTGGGCGTGGCTTGGTGGTGGTCATGTGACTATGTAGTCATGTCACTGGGGGATCAAAAGACAGAAACTCACTTTAACAATGTCCTGCTGGAGCAGGGTTGGACTAGATGACCTCCAGGTCCCTTTCAGCCCTGGATTATTCTCTGAAGCTGCGTCTAGTGCCAGGATTGTAGTCTTCCCTTCCTCTCCTTTTTCTCTCCCTCCCTTTCTCTTTCCTTCTCCCTTCTTTCTTTCTCTCTCTGTCTCTCTCTCTCTATTTCCTTCTTTCTTTCTCAGCACTCCCCGTTTTTGGTCTAGTAGGCCTCAGGGAAGCCTGCTTGGAGCAAAAATGGACCCCCACCCACCCATTTTTGGCTGTGCAACGTGCAATTGAAGGTTTTGGGTTTTTTTACTTTTTTTTAGTATTTTTTACTACTGGTTTGGGCGAACCAGCCCCAACTGATAAGATTTCACCCCTGGTTTGGACAGACCCGACAGGTGGGCTCTGGGCTGAAAAACTCTTTGCTTAATGTCCACCAGAGGAGTCCTCTCTTCCCGACGTTCTTACCAATACAGCCATGTCAGCCACCTGCCCTCACCTTGGCCTTCAGTTCCAACTCGGCATCCGATTCGTCCAGCCATCGGTCAAAATCTGGAGCGAGGAACAGCGGCCGTTTCTCCTGCTTGGTCAGTCTCTCCCACCAGTGGCTCTCCTTCTTCTTCACCGTGATATTCAGCTGCCTCTGGGTCACTTTGCACACCGGCTGAAAGAGGAGGAGGGGGGGAGAAAACAGGCCCTCATTTAAGGAAAAGGGGCTTCGGTGAGAATGCATGATAGAAAAAAAAATAGGCATTAATATCTACCCTTGATTGTTCTCACTGTCAGAATATTCCTGCTTATTTCCAGGTTGAATCTCTCTTTGTTCAGTTTCCATCCATTATTTCTTATCTGGCCTTCGGGTGCTTTGGAGAATAGCTTGAGCCCCTCAAATATTGTAAGACTGCTATCCTGTCTCCCCTGGTCCTTCTCTTCCCTACACTAGTCATGCCCAGTTCCTGAAATCGTTCATCGTATGTTTTAATCTCCAGGCCTTTTGATCATCTTAGATAGATTCAGATTAACAGACTTGGAAGGGACCTTGTAGGTCATCTAGTCCAACCCCCAAGCAGGAGACCCTACACCATTTTTGACAGATGGCAGTCCAATCTCTTCTTGAAAGCCTCCAGTGATGAAGCTNTGGGCTGGCAGGCCACGGGCGGCGCTGCCAGGCTCGGGCACCCCAAGGCAGGGCGAGGGGCTTTTCTGGGGCGCTGACTAAGCCCGGCCGGGGGTCCTTCTGGGCAGCGATGCCAGGCTGGGGCACCTGGCAGGAGGGAAGGGAGGGCGAGGGGCGAGGGGGTCTCCCGGGCAGCGGGGGTCTCCTGGGCAGCCCCGCTGGGCACTGGCAGGCCACGGGCCGCTGCCAGGTTGGGCACCCGAAGGCTGCCGGCGGGCGCTGACTCAGCCCCTGTACGGCACCCCCTGGGCAGCAATGCTTGGGCAGGGCGAGGGGCTCCGCGAGGGTCGCTGCTGAAGCGCGGCCGGGGGTCGTTCTGGGCAGCTATGCCAGGCTTGGGTACCTGACCGGAGGGAAGGCAGGGCGAGGGGCTGTCGGGGGGCAGAAGGGAGCACTGACTAAACCCGGCTAGGGCTTCCTCCGGGCAGCGATGCCAATCTCGGGCACTCTGGCAAGAGGGAAGCCAGGCCAACGGGCTTCTGGGCGGCATCGGGGGTCCACTGGACGAGCCTGGGCGGGGGTCCTTCTGGACAGCGCCGCTGGGCACTGGCAGGCCACGGGGGGCGCTTCCAGGCTCGGGCACCCGAAGGCAAGGCGAGGGGCTGTCGGGGACATTGACTAAGCCCTGGTAGGGTTCCCCTTGGGCAGCGATGCCAGGCTTGGACACCCGGCAGGAGGAAGGGCAGAGGCTCCGCGGGGGTCGCTGATGAAGGCCGGGCGGGGGTCTTCTGGGCAGCCCCGCTGGAAACCTGCAAGCCCCGGGAGCTCTGCCAGGCTCGGGTGCCCCAGCCAGAGGGCGGGAAGGAGGGGGGGTCAGAGGGAGACCTCCGGGGTAGATTGCACCCCACTCCTCCCTTAAATAGCTCCAGGCGGAGACCCCCTCGGGCTACCCCCAGGGGCTTCCCCTGCAGCTGTGGGCACCTCTCTCAGCTTGGCCTTCCTCCGTGCCCGGCGGGGGCGGTGTGGGNATGTTTTAGCCTCCAGCATGAAACTGATATATTATTGATTGCAAGGAACACTCTAGAACCGTGATGGCGAAACTATGGCACACAGTCCTCTCTGTGGGAACGTACACCATCACCAGCTGCTCTTCCAGGTTCCGTTGTGCGCATGTGTGCCATACAACTGGTCCGATGCACATGTGCACTGGCCAGTTGCTCTCTGTTGGGTTCTGGCATGTGCATGGAAGATGGCCAGCTAGTCTTCGCAAAAAGACCAGCTGGCTGCGCACATGCTTATGCCGGAACATGAAAAAGAGCAGCTGGCTGGTGCACATGTGCGCAATGGAACCTGGAAGAGCAGCTGGCGATGGCACGCATGCCATCATCGACCCTGGGAAGACACCAGCTCTGGAAGGCTGCTGCATGATCCAGAAATAACTTTCAAATCAAGATCTATAAAGCATTCTGGTTTTACCCGGGAACAAGTTAGTTCCTCATGAGATTGAGGTCAGGAAAAGAAACAGCTTCTCCAGAAGCAAGGTTATTCTGTGTCGGATGGGTTGTGTACACACACACACACACACACACACACACACACACACACCAACAAGTTGCTGTTTTGGTGACTGGTCAGTTGAATTTAAAGGTGGTACAATTACCAAAAGTGTGCCCGATCAGGCTTTTTCCTAATGTTCCCCTGGATTTTGTAAATTTTATTTATTACAATTGGGTTTGCCTTGTGTTCATTTCTAATTGAGCCAATCATTGGCCTGTATTTCCCAGGATTCTTAAATTTCACTCCAGACAGTTAGAAAAATAGAAATAGAGATAGAAAAATAGAAGAAATAGAAATGTAGAGTAGAGTAGAGTAGAATAGAATAATCTCACAACAGAAATTGTTGGCTCATTTGGAGTCATAAGTTGAGGGTTATCTGTACAAAGTAATATAAAGGAAGAAAAAAGAAAAAGAAATCACAGAAAAAGCAAGAAGTTGAAGAAAAACAGGGGGAAAAAAGATACAGCGAAATGGCTTCCAATAGTCTTCACAGCTATAATAAATTCAAATATCTTTTAATCTCTCTCTCTCCATTAACTTACTCTTCTTTCTGCATCCTATCTGATCCTCAAAACCATAAATCATAATTATTATTTTTTTGACATTTTCATGCAAAAGGTCTTTAAGGAGTTTCCAGTCACCAATAACTGTAGATACTGCCTTTTTTCCTAATAAAAAGCCCATTTATTCATTGCAGCAAAACCTGCCAACTTCACTCTGCGTAGTGGGTGGTGCCAAATCTTTCCATCTCTGCACACCTAGTAATCTCGCCATGTACTCTATGAGCCTCCTGCCCTTATTGCTGACCGCACAATCCTGCCTACAATTTGCTGGGCCTGAAATGGATTTACTCAGTGGGCAAACTTCATAAGCCACATTCACGAGAGGATGGAATGACCAGAATTTCTAGTCTGGGTGCAAATATGATTGAGCAATTCAGGGAAGCCAATTCTATCTGCAGGGCGGCTGGATCTCCACACCTTCCAATGCAATTGTGGTTGTTATGTGTCCACCTGGCTTGTCCGCAAAGAACCAAAGCTTCTGAAATAAAACCTAGATCCAGTTCTACAGGCATAAGATCCCTGGAAAAACCAGTTGGGCTTTGCAGAGGAGATGTGATGTTTGATAAAGACTCTTGCTGCAACGTTCTATTACACAGGGGTTTCCAACCTTGGCCTCTTTAAGATGGGTGGACTTCAATTCCCAGAATTCCTCAGCCAGTCATGCTGTTCTGACCTAGGCTTCCCCAGCAGCACAAAGCTGAGTTCTCGTCCCAATAAACTCCTTTTATTTAATTGACAGTGAATTCCTCTCCAGCAAAGTCTTTCCTCTCCCACCGTCTTTCAGGATAGTTAATTATCAACCTTTATCAGGCTTGGAGAGTGGCCAGGCCAATATCTTTCAGACGTTGCGATACTTGGCAAGAATGTAGGAATGAACTTATTGTCTCCTGCAAACTCCACTCCCCTTTCACTCCTCTTTTATTCCCTCTGGGAGGGGCCATTCATCGTCCACCTGTGGCCTTACTTCCAAATCAACCCCTGTTCTTTAGCTGTTCCCTTCATCATGCACACATTGGGAACAAGCTCCAGCTCTTCGTCTGTCTCACTGATGTCTGACTCTGAAGACAGCTGATAACTGCCAGACAGCCCTGGCCACCTCTCTGTCTCCGACACAGAGCCCTCATCAGAGCCTTCCCCAGACTCCAGGACTGGCCCATGTTCCTCTCCAACCTCCTCACTGTCTGAATCTGCTGCCAGCTCTGCTGGTGGGCCACAAACACATGCTGGCTGAAGAATTCTAAGAGTTGGAAGTTCACAAGTCTTCAAGTGGCCAAGGTTGGAGACCCTGAAATACGCAGAAATATATTTTTTTCCCAAAAAGGCAGATGCAAAATGTTACCTTCCTACAAGTCCATCAGGAACGGTGCTATGCATTACTGAATTTAGTTATTGCTGCTTTTTAAATGATTTGCTTGTATTAAATAACTTAGTGTTTATTAACTTCGGCAACATTTAAGATGGGTGGACTTCAACTCCCAGAATGCAGGCTGGCTAAGGCATTCTGGGAGTTGAAGTCCACACATCTTAACGTTGCTCAGGTTGAGTAACAATGAACTGGCTGATACTTTGCACGCTGTATCAGATCAAAGAGGTCGAAGTTCATTCTGGGCTCACTCTGTGCTAATACGTAATTGTCCTCCTGCTATTGTTTAATTTGGCGAGTTAAAAACCAATCGACTTCATTCATTCAGCCTGCTTAGCATTAACACAAGATGTATTTATGTAGGACAAGGGGCAAAAGGCTGGCTTAGCGTTTTCTGCTTTCATGCTTTTGGGGATCTCCAAAAAACCACTCTTGATGTGTGAACTTGACCTTGTGAGTTGAGCCGGAGAGATGCATTTATAGGTCTATAGAAATCAAGTGGCATGCCGGAAGTCCTCGAGTTACAACAGCTCAATAAGTGACCCCTGGAAGTTACAAAGTCACTGAAAAAAGTGATTTATGACCATTTCCCACCCTTAGCACCACTGTAGCATCCCCATGGCCATATGATTTGCATTCAGATACTTGACAACTGACTCATATTTATGACGGTTGCAATACCCTGCACTACACATACTGGTTGCAACAGGATCCGGAACCCACCACTGATATGATCCTTTTTGCGCCCTTTTGACCAGCAAAGTCAATGGGGAAGCCAGATTCACTTAACGACCGGGTGACTAACTTAAGAAATGCAGTGATTCACTTATCAATTGAAAGGTTGTAAAACCTTATTAAGATAGGTTGTAAAATGGAGCAAAATTCACTTAACATATTGTCTCGGTCAGCAACAGAAGTTTTGGCTCAATTGTGAGGACTACCTGTACAATTGAAAAGTAACTGAATTTATTTAACTGTGCTCTGACAGTCCCAAAATAAAATCATGGGCACCTTTTCAAATACTGATATTTGCTTTTATTAGGCAGCAAGTACTGAACTCTTACCTGAGGATTTACTGGTTCCAGGAACTCAATCTGGAATGTGTAAATATTGTCTCCTTTGGCTCCATGGCCCTGAGCTAGAAAACCAAAAATATACATCCTATTTTTACCAATTCTAGAAAAGCAATTGTATAACTGTAGAGAATCGGATCCTTCTATAATGAGACAGTTTGAGGCAGTTTCTAAGGAGGAAGTTTCTAAGGAGGCTTTCCAAATTAAATGTCAAAATGTCACATTTCTCTTGAAAAAGGGGGTGGCGGAACAGCAGCACAGAGAGGAGGAGGAACTCGGAGAAAGAAGCATAATTTTGAGATTGTTTTGGGAAATAATTGTTAATCATTCAGGCTTGAGCCCTGGCACGAATATAGACACAAGACAGAAAGAGAATCAATCAATTAATCAATCAGAATAGAGCTGGAAGGGACCTTGGAGGTCTTCTAGTCCAACCCTCTGCTCAAGCAGGAGACTCCATACCATTTCAATCAATCAATCAATTTATCAATCAGAATATAGCTGGAAGGGACCTTGGAGGTCTTTTAGTCCAACCCCCTGCTCAAGCAGGAGATCTTGTAACATTTCAATAAATAAATAAATCAGAATAGAGCTGGAAGGGACCTTCTTCTAGTCCAACTTCTGCTCAAGTAGGAGACCCCGTACCATTTCAATCAATCAATCAGAATAGAGCTGGAAGGGACCTTGGAGGTCTTCTAGTCCAGTGTTTTTCAACCTTTTTTGTGCAAAGACACACTTTTTTCATGAAAAAAATCACGAGGCACACCACCATTAGAAAATGTTAAAAAAATTAACTCTGTGCCTATATTGATTATATATAAAGTAATTCTCTGTTTTTCCCACGGCACACCTTACACTATGTCACGGCACACTAGTGTGCCGCGGCACAGTAGTTGAAAAACACTGTTCTAGTCCAATCCCTTGCTCAAGTTGGAGACCTTGTAACATTTCAAATACTGTTATTTCCCTGAAAATAAGACAGGGTCTTATGTTCTTTTGACCCCTAAAATGAGTGCTTGGCCTTATTTTTGGGGATGTCTTATTATTTTTGAGGTGCAGAAGGCGGTGAGTGGTCACCGCATGGCTGCTGCTGCATTGCAATATTTTCGGGGAGGGCTTATTTTCAGGGGAGGGCTTATTTTAGCGCATGCACTCAAAAGCCCGATTGGGCTTATTATCCAGGGACGTCTTATTTTGGGGGGAAAAGGGTAGGTGGCTGTCCAGCCTCATCGTCAAAACCTCCAGTGATCAATCCATCAGAATAGAGTTGGAAGGGACCGTGGAGGTCTTCTAGTCCAGCCCCTTGCTCAAGCAGGAGACCCCCAAACCATTTCAGATTTCAAATTCTACAAAGTCAAATGGTTCTTTTTTCTTTCTTTCAATACTTTCAAAAGCTTTCCTTCGACAGCACAAGGGCCTCTGTGAAATGTGGGAGGGCAGGTTTTGCAAAAGAATTCAAAGGCACTTTTTTCCCACAGCAAATAAACATTTACATAACAGTCCCAGATGAAAGTGAGCTCCTCCTGTTCTTAAAATCCAACATCAAAAGGAGTTACGGTTATCTTAACGCTGATCAAAAAAAACCAGGCCAGGTATGAAAATTTTACGATCTTATTTAAATGAGGCCATAGACGGCATCTGTTTGAAAAATCCGGAACAAGGATGTTGGGAATAATACATTGTTTGTTCGGTGATTCCAATAACAGGTATTCCTCAATTTACGATGATTCATCGTTACAACGGTACTGAAAACAGGGACTCATGACCGATTTTTATGCAGCATCCTATGGTCACAGGGTCAAAATTCGGACGCTTGCCAACTGTCATGTGATCCCCTTTTGAGAGCCTTTGACAAGAAAAAGTCAATGGGAAAGACTTAACAACCATGTTACTAAGTTAACAATTGCAATTGCGGTGATTCCTGTAACAATGGTGACAAGAAAGATTGTAAAACGGGGCAAAATTCACTTAAGAACTGTCTCACCTTGCGACAGGCATTTTGGCCTCCATTGAGGTTGTTAAGTCTATGACTATTTACATTATGCCAGTTTCCTTGGGGAACACATCCGTTGTGTTGCATAAATTATCATACACGGATCAGGGCAGGGGTCTCCAACCTTGGCAACTTTAAGCCTAGCGGACTTCAATTCCCAGAAAGCTTTGCTGGCTGGGGAATTCTGGGAGTTGAAGTTTGCCAGGCTTAAAGTTGCCAAGGTTGGAGACCCCTGCATCAGGGGACATATTTTATGCATCCGGATTCAGTGGAATAGCAACCCAGAACAAGATAATCTTTGAGGGAAGTGCGAGAATTAAATCAGGATCAATAAATTTGTAGGCAGTTTGTTTATCTCTCCCTAGAAATGCAATCTTAAAATCCCAAGAATCTTAAATCGTCAAAATGAATCCTTGAGTGGTTTTGGAAATGCTAATTTTACCTTGAAAGGATCTGGGCTTGTAGCGTGACGAACTCCCTGGAAATTATTACTCCTGACGGTTTCTTTATAATGTATCGTTATAATTTATAACGCCTTTATACTTGTCATTTTATAAATTGAAATGCTTTTTTTCTCTGAAAGATATTTTTCTATGAGGAAATAGAGGAGGAAATTACCTTTAAAATGGAGCACATTGTCCGTAATGGTAATTTCAGGATCCTGGGAAAAAAAGGAATAAAGATGGTTACTTACCTTTCAATTACAGGAGGAGGAGGAGGAGGAGGAGGAGGAGGAGACTGATGTGTCTTTGATGCTCTCTGAGCTTGCTTGTTTTCTTCCAGACATTTCACGACCCAAACAAGGTAACATCATCAGTGCTAGTAAGGAGTGATGTTAATTCCAAGGTCAACATCAGTCCAACA